CCGAAAAAACCCAGAAAAAAACAGAAAAGAATTTAAATGAACAAATCCAGGAAAAGAAACAACTCAAACAAAACAAGCCCCCATCCCCTGTGAGAAATGTCTGAGTTCTAAAAAACTTGTATTATAATATCCAAGTTTAGGCGTTCTGGCGTTGTTCCGAATCACAATTTAATCGCACCATTTTACTCTGTTTGTAACCAGATGAAGGGCAATGATGTAAACGTTGCACGCTCACTTTACTATAGAACGAGACTAGTAGTCTAATACGGGGTACCCATTGGGGGATCGGGTCGGGTCGGATCGGTTCGCTAGACAGAATGAGGGCACAAAAGGTTGTCTCGTGGCACAAGCCGATCGCGCCTGACTCGTCACCTCAAAAACAAACGAGTTCGTTTTCAGGCGACGAGAGGGGCGATCGCCCCCGACCCGATCCGACCCGATCCGACCCGATCCCGTCCGCAATGGGCACCCAGTAAAAGGGCTTTGCCCTTGAATCACGCGCACATGGTACACTGGTACGCATCAGCGTAGAGCTTTTTTTTTTTTTTTTTACAGAGTTGGCCATAACAAATGCCCGGGCTAGGATATTACAAGTCAAGTCTATGAGATGTTCTACCAGGTCCTTTTTCCTGAGCAGTTCCTGGGGGTCCGTCTTGCTGTCCAGCACTTCCTTCACCACCTCCGCGTCCCCCTGAGCTATAGCCTCAAAGAGAGCCCAGTAGCTCGGCGTGCGGTAAGGGTGCGGGGCTTCTTTAGTCTCCTCCTTCTCCTGGGGTTGGGGCTCGGGGGCTCCTCCTATTTTCTTCATGTCGAGGACGACGTATTTGTTAGGCAGATGTCAGCTCCAAGTTGTTGCCAGCTGGAATCGAGAATCTATATGTACATAAAAGTGGACTTGGGAGGCCTTGTGCACAAACTCATCCCTTATTACCTAACGCACACCTTTGAAACTTAGCAGGCGTCCACAGCATACCAGTAGAGGGTTTAATATAGTAGGCCAATGACTTTCAGTTGATGTTAATGCACCGACCCTTTTTTCATTGAAAGGGGGCCCAGCTAGTATATTATATTTGTGAAAGCTCGTCACTTTGGTTTCCTAACACTTCCGAACCTCTTAACTTTCGAATTTGAAAAAAAAACTAACTGTGGTTCAGAATCATTTAAAGGGTGCACAGTTATATTAAAGGTGTCTGAAGTCACTGTAGTTTAATTTTCAATTTTTCATTAGTTTCGTTTAGATCTAATCTTGGGAAACTCTGTCTTTTAAGACGCCATTGTGCACAAGTGAGGCTTCCGTTCACAAGCAATGGGCACTGTTTCCACAATGACTTGATGATCCATTCTTTTGAGTCCGTTCATCGAACGGGTACCCAGTTAGTCGAGAATATTCCTTAACACCATAGGTGTTAAAATCAAGGTTCGTAGGTCGCTTTTGGCCCGGCGAATAATAATTACATATATATATATATATATATATATATATATATATATATATATATATATATCCGGCCCTCGAGCGAATTTGAGGTCGCCCAACCTGAAAAATCTCCACAATACAAAACTTTACTCGAATTTGACTATCACTCACAGTAAACCTTCTTCAGGGGAACAAATCCCTAAAAGGAAGGACTAGGAAGGTATTAGTGGCTTTCGGTCTCCCATCAGGATTTTAGAAGCCATTGAGTAAAATCTAGATTTAATAGTGGTCGCTCGTTACGGAAGTCCTCCCCCCTAAAATGTTGACCGAGACAAACAAAGCGACAACAAGCTTGTTTAGTTGTTCTAAGACCAGAAAGAAAAAAAAAGAAAAGAAATTCTGGACAGAAAAAAACCGTGTCATTATCTCAACAATTGCGCCTGTGTTATGTGTCTTTTCTTGTTTTTGTTTTTTGTTTTGTTTTGTTTTGTTTGTTTTTGTTTGTTTTTGTTTTTGTTTTTGTTTTTTGTTGTTGTTGTTGTTTTTTTGTTGTTGTTTTTTTTTTGGGGGGGGGTTCAATATTTAGAATTTAAAATTTGACAAAATACTTCTCGAGCACGTGCAACCTATACCGTACAGATTAAGAACTAATTTTGCAATTTTTAAAAACTCTAAATTTTGAGCTTAGCACGTGTAAACAGCTGGGCGATGACATCACAAGTAGAATCTACACCAAAACCATGAGCTTGTGTTATCTTTGAGCTTGCAGCAGAAGATCCTGAAATGTAACTCGACAGACACCAAATTATAAAACATTACGGAAAGATAAAACAACCTACCGCACTCCTCTCGGCCTATGAATATTCAGCTATCGCAAGATTCTGTCTCGTCTTGGTTTCGTGAACATGCCATTAAACGGTTACAACAAAATGTGGTTCAGCACTGGACAAGTGTTCTAAACTGTCGCACATACCGTGGTGGTCTGTGGACGCACACAATGGTGCAAGTTTTGACTCACGGGAATTTCCCAAATCCCTTCGTTTTCTTTTTCTTCAACTTCAACTGGCACAGTTCGCTTCTTAAGAATGACAGGGTTTTAAGCCTAACTCAATGACACATAGATTTGAGAAAATAGGAGACAAAGATTGACATTCTTAAAGTTTAAATGTTTTAGACTTTATTTGTTGAACACCAAACTGGAAAAATACAGGTCAGAATGATATAGTCTTCAGCCTTTGACACAGTATAAAGGGCATCTGTGCCAGTAACGTGTAGTCGTGTAGTGTGTAACTCAGTTCTCGCAAGAAAATTGGTGTAAGAGCCTTGCGCTTTTTAGTGCATGACATCCGAAACAGGCATTGGCAATCGCAGATCATCACTCGTTTCTCTGCTCGAATGATTATAAAATCTTATATTGCCCTGATATTTTTTTTAGATCCATTTGTTCAGGTTGGGTAGGTAAAAAAGCTATTAGATCTACATTCTTTGACTTCATCTGCATTATTCACCTTCTGTTAAAGAAAAAAAAACTTCACCCCAAAAACTTTACAAACTTCCTGAGAATACTGGGATACCGTATTATAACAACGGCTGAATTAACAATGTGAAAAGAGGAGTAAATAAAAGTAAGAGAGTTCAAATAAAGACAAAAGAGGAAAACTGGTGAGGTCTCCTTTTCCCGCTGACTGAAGACTAAGTGTTACTTTACTTTACTTTACTTTTAACCGCGGCTTATACATGTACCATTTTGGGTGTCACGGGAAGAAAGAGACGTCTCTCTGTCACCAGCCGGAGAGCTTGGGTCAGGGGGATGCCCTGGGTGGTTAATGTATCCCGGACTCCATCTATCCAGGTCTTTCTCAGTCGCCCTCTCGCCTTGTTGCCATCGAATTTTTTTTAAATGTAGGCACGTTATGCTGGATGGTGTGTTGGTAATCGTAGGAGATGTCCGAACCATTTGATTCTTTGGTGTTGGATGCAGTGGCGGTGGGCAGTGAAGGGCTCACGGGCTTGAGCCACTACCCCCTCCCCACCCACCAACCCCAACTCTACCCCAAGTAAATGAAAGTTTCTCCATAATGAAAAAGCTGTTGAAACTGTTATGACCGCACGCAATGAACACAGAGTGATCAACTTGGTGGCTTGCTCGCTTATCCAATCAGTGTTGTCACCGCTTACAACTATAGTAACCCAGCAGCCAATCAAATGTTTTAGGGCTCAGCAAAGATGAGTCCTTTTCCCACAGCCCGTCCTTAATGAAACTCTTCTTGTAAAAAGGTACAAGACTGGGAAAAAATTACACTGTACAGAGGGCTCACGCTCTCCTAGCCCTGACAATGGAGTGAATGTTTACGACACACTTTCCCCCACTGACACAAATACCTATGCGCTCATTGGTTCTTTGTTGGGTGCCTTCAACTTTCTCGACTACACGGCCTAATCCAGCTCATAGAGGTATTATGTTTGAAGTGCTGTGTGTCCATGTTTGTGTTTGTGCCGCTGAGATTTAACAGTTATAACTCAGGTCGAACTACTCGTAAGGCAACTTTTTCATAACACGAAAACTAATTAGAGGAATTTGGAGGTTGTAGTTTAACTATACACGCATGTGGTTTAACTAAGCACACCCACCTCATGTAGCGATCCAACTTGCACTGACTGGTCGCAACTCTCTGCTCTGCGCCTCGACCGCTACTCACGCAGTCTTCAAAAGTCCGTGGCTCACGCCTCGGCCTGTCCTTGTTTTCTTCAATGTCAAATAGGTAGCCTACCGTACTCGACTACTTTCCCGAGAATCACACAGCTAACCACAAGCCCCCGTGATGTCAAGATCAAACAAAACAAAATAAGCAACAACAATAATTTTCTGAAGTTCTTCAACTTGCGAACAGGACATGGTTCAACGCTATCTACACTTTGTACTTGTACACTTGATTACTCCATTAAAATTTACTGAGTTTCATAGTCCACCAACCAACCGAGGGTTTTCCTGACTCGATCAGGATACCGCCTGGGAGGGGGTTCACCTGCACCTTCGTTTCTTGCCAGGGTCTGCATGGTTTGCGGCTCACTGCCACCTTCCTCATCATCCTCTTCCTCTGAAGTTACATCTCGTACCACTCTTCTAACACCGAGAACGTGACGAGCCATATCATCGACAGCAACATTGTTGATCGAGTTTACTCCCGTAACCGTACCTCTATTCCACTTGGTCGTGCATTTGCTCTGGGGTGGTTTAACCCAAACATCATCTCCAACTTCAAATCTTCCTTGCCCGTCTTCTTCTTCATTAACAGCGATATGGTTTCTCCAATCATAACGGTAGACAGCTCTTTGTGGCACTGATGCTGGGTCCAAACCTGCTCTTGGTGTTGAGTTCTACCATAACACAGCTTCTTGTGGGGAAATGTTTCCTCTTTCTGCAATGGACTTCACTGTACGGTGGTGTCTCTCAACAATCCCGCTCCCCGTAGGCCTATATGCAGCTCTGAACAATGGTTTGATATTCCATTTCTGAAGCATCTGCCAAAAACAATCTGAATGAAACACTGTGCCATTATCCATTAAGATCTCGCGCACTGGTCCTCTCTCAAACATGAGTTCTTCAACTACTTCCGTCACAAACCCTGCTGTCTCTCTCTCTCTTCAGTTTCTTCCAAATTGCGAATCGCCCTGGGCCACAATCAACAATTGACAGGTATGGCACTTGATGATGGTGAATTATGTCTATTGCCAATCTTGTCCAGTCTGTAGCGACATCTAGGTTGCCCGCCTATGGACAACTGGTGCAGGATCGATAGACTGACATTGCTCACAAGCTTGTACGACTTTTTTAACATCAGCACGGCTCGTTTCTGGTTGCACCTTCCGAGCCAAATACAAAGTACGGTCTACCCCCATATGGTGCATATCGTGCAAGTCTTTCAAGTCAAGATGACCAGTAGCACAAATGCATGGTTCTGGTTCTCCCTCCTCCATTCCATACCCGCCAATGCTTAACCACTCCTTTTTCACTCTTGTCAGAATGTCTGCTTTGTTCTTTCTGGTCGGAACCAAGGTGATCGACAAAACCAGACCAAACTCATTAATAAGGCCTTTTAATATCCCTAATCGTCTCTTCACAATCAACTCCGCTGTCCCTTTGGTGTGCACTCTCCTCTCTTCCGATAGAACAGTTTTGATCCAACCAGCCACCGTTGCTGAGTCAGTGATAACTTCGATTTCAGAGATGTTCCACTTAATGGCCATGTTTACACCTTTCATCACAGCCTCCAGCTCTGCTACGATGATATGATCAAAATCTGAAGGTTTCCGAAGCCATGCAGCATCCTCTACTACGTTGCCATTGACCTTAAGTAACACACCATGTCCGATACTGCTAGCATCACACCATACGGTTCCTTTAGTTGCTTTAGGAACGTACCATTTGCCTTTGACGGGAGTCAAACGGCTCAACATTTCCTTCAACATTTTCTCCACTTCATCGTCTACAATCTCCTCCCAATTGGTACCATTTGCCCTTCTCTTTATGTAGCTGCATGCTATTCTTAACCATCAAGCAAGGATAATGGCCTGTAAGTTTTCCGCAGATCGAGAACAACTCCCGTTTGGTGACTTTAGACACTGCATGGGGGATCCTGTTGGCTCTGGAAAATATGAGATCTCCCGTGGAATCAGATTTCAACTTCAAACCTAATGCAGCGCCACCATCCAATGGCTCTGGTTCTTTCGTTGTCAACCCATAGTTGCCCAGGTGCTTCGCCAGTGCAGCAGATGTTACCTTGCTCTCAACCAGCAGAATGTCACCAATGTAGGACTGCGTGGCAGAGTCTATCTTCTCATCTTTACTCAATACCGTTTACAAGATCTTCATGATGCGGGGTGCCGATATAAGACCGAATCCAAGTCTTGTCAGGCAACATGTTTTACCTTTGAAATTCACTAGTTGATATTTCCATAGATCTTGTGACACCCAAATTTAAAGGTAAGCACCTTTCAGGTCGACAATCGTTGCTGCACCTGTCGTCTGTCTCCACTCTCGCAATGTCTCGCCGCATACATCCGTGAAGTCACCCCCCGTGTGACTACTTACATATTTATTGAGCTCTCTGTAGTGAAGAACAGGTCTTACCTTGTTCTTGGTAGGTTGAACAACAGCCATCAGCGGGATTATGCCTATTTCTACTTTCTCATTCCATGGTAAAAGTATTCCTTCCTCTATCCAACTTTGTATCTCTTTCTCAAAACCTTCCGTAGTCTTCATATCCATCTGTTTACCATAGCATCCGATCTTATTCTTCAGGTGGGGAGGATCCCTTTTCCATTTCCACTCCACTGTCCATGTATTGCCATCAAAAACTGTCTTAAATTCACTGTCGTCAATAACCTCAACCTCCCTGTGTTCGTAAACAGCGCTCTCTGCTCTCTTCATGTTCCCCGTTGCCTGGTCTGGGGGATCAGATTCAGTTTCCATTTCCGCTGCCCCACACCATTTGACACCTAACTCAACTGTACCATGGTTGACTGAAACTCCTCCCAGGCTGTTTATAGCATCCGTTCCCAGCACCACATCAATATCAGACAGAATAGAATCTAAGACAATTGCATTTACGGAGACCGAGACACCTCGCACGTCAATGATTAGCTCTTTCTTCCCCTGACACTGCATTCGTGAACCATCAAAAGCTATCATATAATTCCCGCCCACGCAATTTCCAACTATCTGTGAACTGACCACTGTGACCATACAACATGTATATACCAATGTTTTGACCTTAGCTCCCTTCACGCCAACTTGAATTATCGGTAAAGACTGCGCCCTCATTTCAAACGGGTAGCTCCCGGCGCAGCAGCCACCTGAAGCTAATTTTCATGTTTCTTCTGATAGGCACCGTTTCCCCTCTGAGTGCATCGACTGGCTATGTGCCCAACTTCATTGCAGTGGTAGCAAACAATGTCAGCACGATGACTACAAAAATTAGCCATATGTGGTCCACCACATCGATAACAAGAACATTTAAATGCCCTCACACGTTGACTGTAGCTTCCCATTTCGTTTGCCATGGCTCCGCCTGCCGCCGCAACGCTGACCATTCCAGTCTTACTTGCTGTAAGGATTCTAGCTCTTGCTATTACCTCTGACAGTTCAACTTCGAAGACCCGGCTCCTCCGTTGGAGCTCACACAATATCACACGAATCCATTTACAAAGGACAATCTATCCAGCCTATCCAGTTCGCTGCCTGAAAATCCAGCCAATCCTCCCAATCTCCTTAGTTCGTTCGCGAATACATCAACAGGCTCACCGTCCCACCTCCTCTGTGTCAACTTACTGAACGCAACAAATGAGCTGTCTGTGAATGCCTCTAGAAGACGCTTCTCAATTGTCTCATATTGTGATCTTTCGAGCTCACTAAGCTGTAAGTACAACGCCAATGCATTTCCCTCCAGGAACAACGGTACAGATTTCGCAAGATCCTGAATGTTCTTCAAACCCGCGACGAGTTTAACCTTAGC